TTTCAAACTATGACACTTACAACAACAAATACTGGAATCCGTTATTTTTGAATCTTTACAGTAATTGAAATACCAGAAAATCAAAATTCCGGTCCTAGGGCATCTATATGCAAAATTTCATTGAAATATACTGAATGGTTCTTGAGATATAAATGGAAAGCCAAAAATTGGCTAAATACATGTACATGTACATACATGTTTAATAGGAATCTCGTAATTTGATGATTTAAGGGAGTTCAAAAATCCCAAAAATCAAAGTAGTTTTACAGTATTTACATATACCGGTACATACCTATATGGCAAGTATCTCCTTCCCAGCCTGATGCACAGCTACATGTGAATGTGTTGATACCTTGAGTACAAGTACCACCATTGGCGCAGGGAAAACTAGAACACTCATCAATATCTAGGAATTATCAATACAATCATTACAAAATAAATATTCATATAAACATGATATTTAAATAATAGGCGATAATAAAATCATGTAGAAATTGCAAAGAATGAAAAATAAAGTGAGAATGAAACCAAACAAACTTAATATTGAAAAAAAAAAATCAAATATTGAAAGACATAAATTTCATGAAAAATATAATCCATACAAGTAAAAAATAGTCTTCATAATGGTATTTCAGATAACCTTACCTCTTTCACAGTAGATTCCATCATATCCATCGAGACATGTACATACAAATGAGGCAATTAGGTCAATACATGTACCACCATTCTGACATGGATTACTGGAACACTCTTGAATCTCTGAAACAATCACAGTAATGAATGTAAAAACTGAGACATTCACGTAACTTAGTCATTGTAATTCTTCTCAATCACATAAACACTTTTATGTAACTGTAAAATACTGTATTTTCGCTTGGAATTAATTTTCACTATTTTCGCTAAAGAAATGATTCAGTGAAAATAAAATCCAGCGAATATACCGTTTTTTTTCTATATTTTACCATTCCAGTTGTCAAAAGTCAGTGAAAATAAATTCCACACTCAAAATGTCTTCTCAGTGAAAATTAATTCCAGCTAAAATAAAATATTTTATATTATTGATAATTGGCAGGCAAAGGTTACATGTAGGTGTAATTTTATGAGTCATCTAATGTGTATAGTATGTGTATCTCCACAGTGTTTCAGATGTTTTCAAAATGTTTCACTAGTAGTTGATGCCATCGACGGTTTGAATTGATATACAACTCCGACAATAGTCGCCTTGTGTCTGCTTAAACCATACTATTAAGTACAGTAGGTATCATGGGTTGATAGATTATTATTGAAGAAATAAAAGTGAAGATAAAATCAATGTACTACATACAAATTTACAATCACAGTGTGTTGAGGAATCACCAAAACAAATATAAATCCTATCTTAGATATTTCACTAATTATGATGTCAGTTACTCATCCTGGCTACGGATGTTTGGAGACCAAGCAATGTCTTCTGGTAGGGCTATCTTTACAATAGGGAGCAATAAAGGCCCAATGTGCCGGTAATTTTAAGTCAATCTAGCATTTATTTCCTCACATGAATACTGTAAAGGTTACTCATAACAGTGGAACATGCAGTTGTACTAATGGCAAAGAAGTTGAGAAATCGAGACCTGTTCTACATAGACGCCTTTTTGAAACACATACAGGTACTAGTAATTGAACTACTGTAAAATACTTTATTTTCGCTGAAGGAATGATTCAGTAAAAATAAAATCCAGTGAATATATCTATTTTTTTATATTCTACATTGAACTCGTCAAAAATCAGTGAAAATAAATTCCATACAAAACACCCAAAAAGTGTTTTCAGTGAAAATTAATTCGAGCTAAAACAAAGTATCTTCAGAGGTACATTACTTGGGGTTTGCAACTACGGTGATATGATACCAATATCTCATTACAATCTTGTTTTCGCATAAACGTTCCAACTCAGAAAAATGCGAATGCGCATGCCCCAGGTAACTAGGATACTGGGATGTCCAGGTGGATCAAAATAGCTGCTCACGATATGACGGATTACGATAAATATATTTTCTGTACATTTACGATGTATTACATTTTTTTACTATGAATGTGGTAATACATGTTTTATTGTTTTATTACAAAACCACCTATGTCATGTCAAAAGGTCGTAGCATCAGTCTCGCGATCTATGAGATGAGACTTGAATGGGATCTTGGCATGATGTCACCATACAGTACCATGCACG